CGCTGCAGAACGTCATACGCGATCAAGGAAGCACGTGGCAGCTCTCCATGACTACAAAAACAGAAGCCAGGGTCGCTTACCTGGCGAAGTTGAATCAAAAACGCTTGATTTTGGACTAAACCAAAGTCACAAAATTAGGCAATTGTAAACATTTGAGTATTTACATTTGAAATTTATCTCGACATACTTTAGCTCATAACTCCACTTCTACTAAACCGATTACGCTCAAATTTGAAATTCTGGCGCTTCAAATATCCTAAGACAAGATTCCATAGCAAAAAGTTCAAAACTCAGAAATTCATTTTTTGACCCTCTGAACCTCCCGTCCCCCCTTAACCTCTCTAATACTAAAAATTCCCTCATTTAAGCTCATCTCGCTATGGCATGAATCGATTTTTCTGCGTTCCGGTTCGGAAAGGAACGTATGGAACGGGAGCCCCTACCCTCAGTTCCATCTCTCGTCGGCTTATGCACACAGGAGCGCAGCAGCGCTTCGCCATGACGATACAAGCCAAATCAAAACAACTCTAGCCGAAAAGCTAGCTCAGTGTTTGTCAGGCAAAAAGCGAAAGTCTCAAAACTCAAAAGGTAGGGAAGTCAGAGTCAGATCAGAGCGGCCTACTGGCCGGAAGATTCACTTGCCCCGTCTCGAACCCAGACAATCTTTGTGCAAGTCATCTATTCTCAGAAAAGACATCTTTTACAGAGGGCGATGCACTGAATAGCCCTTCTCGCTCCACATATACTGGCACACACAGAGACATAGACAGCAATAGCGACACTACACAAAGTGAAGGGTAGTTGGCCGCAGCCAGATGTGCCTGAAGGGCAGTTGGCCGCAGCCAGATGTGAACTGGATAACGAGTGAGGTATGGAAGCAAGGACTGAGAACAGAGTGTCTCAGATAGAATAGGCATGCCAGTGGATAGCAGAAATCGGACATGATGCAGAACCACTTGGGACCATCAGATTAATTTTTCTGGACCGAGCCAGCCGGGGAAAAAACCCTCGCGCCGACGGACGCAGTTGTGAGGGAAAAAACGGGTGTCTATCCCCAATGGCGATTAGGCATCATGTAGGCATGGCAAGCACATCACGGCAAAAAGTGATAAAAAAAAGCAATGAGAATATGCGGACAGAAATGAAGGGTGGGAGGGCAGGGACACTGGTGAGACTCAAAACTGACTGAAAACGTCAGGAAAAGAAGCGACAATAAAGAACACACCAGATGCCATATTTACAACTGAAAATATTTCGCGAGAAATACAACTTTCCCAAAGACGCTCACCACTTTTTTGCAGCTTTTGGTTGTTTTGGAAGAAATCGCAACTTTCTCAACTTTCTTCACTTCCAAGAACTACTTCGCAACTTTTCTGCAACCGTAAGCAGAGAAACCGCCTTGGAGGACACTTCTCCAAGGCGCAAACCAACAACCGTCCAACTTGGAAGGCTCAGGTTCGGAAAGGTCCAAAGGAAAGGTTCTTCTTTTTTCACCATAATTTAGTTGGCTCACCATCCGAGTTGAATTATCATCATTATTACTATTAATCGGAAAACATCAGTTCTTCTATTCATAAGCTGACTTCTGTTGTAAAAGTTTTCTTTTTGCCAAATTAGTTTGGGTTACCTTCGACAGTGGTTCGAGTTTTGCCCGTTCTATTCAATGATCTATTACGACAATCGCCTCGGTGTGAGTTTTATTAAAACACAAAGTTCAAAAGTCTTCGTAGCCGTCAACCCGTCACCCTGCAAATAATCAGCCCATCTCTCCCTCAGCTCCACCCCTGATAAAGGCTGATTCACTGGCATCTTCAGCTACATGTACTGTATCAGCGTGAGAACTTTGAAGAAAACGAGTTCCAGCATAACAGTGTTACAATAAAAAAATTAAAAAAATTACAATAGTATATTGCCATGCTTTCTACCTTTCTTTTAACTGAAAACGCTGTCTGTAAAAAAGTGTGACAGACCCCTGAACCCTTTACCATGCAGACCACCAGCGCTGATCAGGTACAATGTATAAAGTAGCCTACAAACAGCACCTGTGAAGATGATATCGAGACCCATTTACCTTTCTACATCTCATTTGCCTTTCTACTAGTACTTTGCTTGTTACGATTCTTGTTTTCTTTTTCTTTTTCCCTTCCGGTTAAGGGGGCAGCCTACCCATAAATTTCATATGGCATTCAATTGACCGTAACTTTGGTGTTTCTCAATGGATTTGAGTGAAATTTTGACCACACACTCCAGCCACTATGCTGGCCCTCAGGACATGATTTACAAGTTCTTGCGCCTCACTGACAGGCTTTCCAGCCCGGAAAAACTCAAATTTCCGGCATAGTGCCACGGTGTGCGAGCCACCCAGGAGCCAAACATATGCATTTACAATTTTTTCACATTTTTCGTGCTCATTCTGTTCGTGCGCGGGACTCAAACCTAGAACAAGTCCAGAAGCAGCCATGGGTGATGGGGTAGGGCCCCTCAACGAGGCCCTGGAATCTGTCACAACGGAACGAGTGGGCGTTCTCTCACACACTCCCACAGACCCAAGTCAATTTTTGAATTTTTTTAGGTTTAGCACGTGCTACAAGGTCGTACCTTTGATACAACATCCAGTGCTGGGACCTCCACAGCAAGCCATTTCCACAGCGCTGCACACCAAATCCAGGATACCCTCAGAAACCGGCAAAGACTACCACTCACGTTCCACTACTGCCTACTACTGAATCCTACCTGACTTCTTGACACGACTCAAACTTGCCAAAGTCACTAAATCAACGTCAACTACAATAATCAAGCCACATATCTGCAACGTCACGAGGGTGCAGCCCAATACGTGGCTCAAAAACCTGATTTTTTGGACTTGGAGCAAAATTCTGCACACTTACACGTGTTTCCATGATACGACAAGTTGCGCACGGTCTGCTCACATTCAAATACAGTGCTGCAAACAAATGACAGCGTGCAACAAAAAAATCAAAGGCTGTCCTTGCAAGGGCACATTTTCGGCCATAACTCTTGAACGGTCGGTCAGATCGGGACACAATTTTCAGAGAATTTGCAGCTATTCATGCTCTTTCAACTGACGTAGCACTCAATATGAATTTACAAATTCGATTTTTCAGCGAATTTTTGGGTAGTCTGCCACCTTAAGTTATTACATGCATCTTTATATTATAATTATATTTCTCTAGTTCTTGGAGGAACGGAAGAGTGGGGAAAGGAAGAGACAAAGGAAGAGACACTAGAATATCACATGGTTTAACCCACCGTTCAGTAAGAATGTGTCCACGAACATTGGTCAGCGATTCCTGCAACTCGTCAGCAAGCACTTCCACAAAGGATGTAACTTTGCCCGCAAGGTCAAGTGAATCTAGCTGGTAGTCCCGCTGCCTATTGTGTGTGTGTGTGTTTGTGTGTGTGTGTGTATGTGTGTGTGTGTGTGTGTGTGTGTGTGTGTGTGAGTGTGTGTGAGTGTGCGCGCATGTGTGAGTGTGTGTGTGTGTTTGTGTGAGAAAGAGAGTGCATGTGGGTGATTGGATAAGTGCGGGTGCAAGTATGTGTGCGGTAGGTGTGAGAATGAAAGGATGAGTATTGTGGCCGTGTGTGTGTGTGTGTGTGTGTGTGTGTGTGTGTGTGTGTGTGTGTGTGTGTGTGTGTGTGTGTGTGTATGTGTGTGTGTGTGCTCTATCCTTGGTGTGTCGAGACAGCAGATGTGGGATGCCCACATCAGCAATGCTGAACTATTGCGTATGTGGGGCGATCCGGAGACCATCACCTGTAAGCTTCGGCATCGTCGGCTAGAGTGGCTAAGCCACCTGGCGCGCATGGATGACACCCGCATGCCGAAGTGCCTTCTGTTTGGCCAGCTCCCACCTGTCAGACCTGCCCATGGACCAAGGAAACGGTGGAAGGACTGCGTGTCGGTCGATCTTCGACATAACCAAATTGTGAACTGGTACCAGACCGCTAACACATCTCGCATGGAATGGCGAGACCAGGATAAGGAACTGGCCGCAGCATCCCCCGTTGAGTGCCCCACCTGTGGAAAGGTCTGCTCTAGACCAAGTGATCTTAAGCGCCACAAGTGCACAGCGGAGCGTCGCAAGCCAGTCCATCAGCAGCGTGGTGCATGTCAATGCGCAGATTGTGGGAAATGGTACCGTAGCAGGGGTGGACTCGCTGTGCACAGGTGTCAGCCTACCTCAATCGCTAGCCAGCCCGCTTCCGCTCCTTGTAGACCTCGCCAGAACCGCCCAACAACAGATGAATGTGCCAAGTTTCCACTAATGTGTCAGCACTGCTCTCGGAGATTTCGGCAGTTCAGGGACCTGACCCGGCACCGGCGTGTTTGCTCCTCTCCCTCCTCCCGCAATGGGACCACGTAACCTTTAAGGCAGTGGGTCAAGTGGACAGGACAGGTGTGTGTGTGTGCAGTCGATTTCCAATCGAGAGGTTGCGGGTTCAATTCCCGACGATTATGGTCGCACACGTCTTTCTTCTCTTTCTCGGACTCTTCCTGACTTTTCTTTCATTCTCCTGGGTGGTTACCAATAGCCAGTGTATGCCGGAGTATGTGGTGTTGTGTGTGTGTGTGTGAAGAAAAAATGGAAAATGAAAAATAGGGATTCACTGGCCAGAAAAGTCACTTCAAACAGCTGTGTGGTGGATACCAGGCTAAAAATAGTGGCGGTCAATTCATCAGCTTTGCAAGCTGTTGAATGGTGTAATCCCAGCACAAGTTGCTATGTCTAACATAGCTGTTCGCTATCATCGTTTCCGCGATGGGCATGTC